GGGGTGTACTTGAAACAGCTACTCCCATGACCTTGGGTCAGTCACAAGTTCTCTCAGAGCTGTTCTCGAAAGAACAGTTCTCAAAAGAGCTCTCTTGGCCCCACCTACCTCACAGGGTGTCTGTTGTGGGGAGGGGAAGGGAAAGGAGGTTGTAAGTCGCTCTGAGACTCCTTCGGGTAATGAATGGCCGGGTATAAATCCAATCATCATCTCCTCCCCCTCCTCCTCCTCCTCCTTTCCTTGTACCCAAGAAAACGGGAGACTGGCGAGCAATACTGAACCTCAAAGACCTCAATTTGTGGGTCACTCAACAAAAATTCTCTATGCTCTATTTTACAAACTATACACCAAGGGGACTCTTTGACTTCATTGGACCTCAAGGAGGCATATCTACATATACCTATTCACCCAACATCCAGAAGGTTCCTAAGATTTGCCTTCAAGGGCCAACAGTTTCAATACAATGCACTACCTTTTGGCCCGTCATCATCTCCTTGGGTTTTTACGAAGGTTGTAATTGCTGTAATAGCAGCCCTTAGACAGAGGGGGACACACGTCTATCCCTATTTTGACGACGTTCTGATCAGAGCTCAAAACTGCAATCAGAGCAATGAGGACGCCCAAGTGGTGGTACAGACCTTAAAGAGACACGGCTTCCTGATAAACATACCCAAGAGCAAGCTGTCCCCTTCACAGGACTTGATACCTCTAGGTGCTTGAAGAAACACCAGACAATCAACTGTGTACTTACCAGCAGACAGGCAAACAAAAATCAAAGAGATAATGAGGAGTATTCTCAAACATACTCAGACAGAGGTGATGGAACTTGGTCAGCTGCTGGGACTGTTCACTGCAACCACAGAGGTGGTTCCATGGCCCAGAGACTGATCAGAGAAAGGAAATACAAATTGATTCAAATTCAGGCATAATTAAGGAGGTCCCTATGCTGGTGGACACACACGAGGAATCTCAGACAAGGAGTTCCACTGGTCCAACCCCCCCTCCCCCAATAGTAGTAGCAATAGAAGTGTATCTCAGGGGCTGGTGGGCCCACTGCCTAGACAAGGTGGTTCAGGGGACTTTGGTCCCCGGAAAAAGCCCAACACAGCATAAACGCGTTGGAACTCGGGGCTGTAAACGTTGCCCTCGGGGCTTTCTAAGATCTGTTGCAAAACAAGGCGGTCCTGATCCGTACAGACAATATCACAACCAAGGCACACATAAACCACCAAGGGGGCACAAAAGCACTGCGGAAACATCAGGAGTTGGAACAAATACTCGGCTGGGTGGAAGAGCACCCATAAATTATCAGAGCACAACATCTCAAGGGATCACTAAATCTTCAAGCAGATTGGCTAAGCTGCCAAGACATCAACCAAACAGAATGGCCACTGAACGACCAGGTCTTCTGGGAAGTAATGAAGAGGTTTGGAATACCAATACTAGATCTTTTTGCGACACAGAAGAACAGGAAGGGACACCGGTTCCTGTTACGCTTCTATGAAAAGGAGATGGAGGGCGTGGATGCCCTGCAACTCCCCTGCCTAAAAGGACTGCTATACGCCTTTCTCCCTGACATCAGTTCTGAGCAGGGTACTGCAGAAAATCAGGAGGGAAGGGGTAGATGTCATACTAGTGGCTCCTTACTGTTCGAGGAGAACTTTGTTCTCCGAGCTGATGCAACTGTCGGTCATGAAATCTTGGAGACTGCCGGAAAGGAGAGATCTCTTGACTGAGGATCCGATAGTTCATCCGGACCCCGTTGACGACATGGAAACTGACAAAAGATGTGATATTAGCAGGTCTATCCAACTGACATTATGTTTCAGGCCAGACAACCAGCCACCAGGCCCATTTACAATTATACTTGGAGGGCTTTTTGTAAATGAGTGACTGGTCAAGGAGTAGATCCCCTGAAGCCTACCAGACAAGACATTATCAGGTTTATTCACTCAGGATGGAAAAGGGCCCTGCAACTGAATACACTGAGGAGGCAGGTAGCTGCAATTGCAGTGGTACTTAGGAATAGGGGATTGGGACCTATTGCCTCTGATAAATGCATAAAAAGATACCTTAAAGGCACGACACAATTAACACCTCCAGTGCAGCATAGATTTCCATCTTGGAGTTTATCCAAGGTGTTGCAAGCGCTTACAAAGTCCCCCTTTGAACCTCTGCATCAGGTAGACCTAAAACCTCTATCCTGGAAGATGGTCTTCCTTGGTTAGGAGAGTTTCAAAAATAGGTGCTTTATCTGCGAGAAAAGAGTTGTGTGTGTGTTTCAGAAGGACGCTGTAATTTTGAGAATTGATCCATCCTTCATCCCAAAAGTACACTAAATGTTTCACATGAATCAACAAATTGTTTTGCTATCCTTTTGTCCAAAGCCCATTCATAAAAAAGAAAAGATGTGGCATACATTAGATGTTGGAAGGGCCCTCCACATCTATATAAATAGGACGGCATCTGTTAGACAACCAGACACTCTATTTGTTTCACACATGTCTCAACATTTGGGAATGAACGTATCAAAAACTGCTATAGCTTTCTGGATTAGGATGTATACAAGAGGCGGGACCCGCAATACTTGTGGGGGGGGGGAGTATTCCCCACAGCTCCCGGCCTGCAGAAGCAGGAGACGCGGCAGCAGGCGAGCCCAGCCTTCTCCCTCCCTCCTCCCCAGTGGTGGTGGCAAGGCCGGCCCACCAAGCTTTCTCCTTTCCCCCTCCCTCCCTCCCCAGCAGCGGTGGCAAGGCCTGCTGGCCCGCCAAGCTTTCTTTTTCTCCCCTCCCTCCCTAGCAGCAGCAGCGGCGAAGCCAGCCTGCCAAGCTTTCTCCCTCCCCTCCTCCCTCCCCGGCGAGGGCGAGGCTGGCCCGCCAAGCTTCCCTCCCTAGCAGCAGCGGCGAGGCCTGCCTGCCAAGCCTTCTCCTGCCCCCTGTCCCCTGTGGTGGTGGCAAAGCTCCTTTACTTTTGGGGGGAATTTAAGTATCCCTTCTATAGTTTTTTTACAGTTTTTAGATTTTTCTGCACATCTGGGGATTGCCCCAAATGTGCAGGAAAATCTCCCTGCCCCCCAGGTGCACCCGATGTGCGGATTGAGATATCCACATGCAGGGGGCGCCTTGGCTATTAGATATATAGATTTGTGAGCATACGAAGGGAGTGCCTGTTGGGATCACAGCGCACTCCAACAGGGCTGCTGCGACTTGGCAGCCTTTGCCACTCGGGCTCAGATTGAGGGAATCTGTAGGCCAGCCGCTTGGTCTTCCTGCACCACACTTGTAAGGCACTATAGGATAGACCAACAGACTTTTGCTGGGGCTGCCCTTGGAAGGAGGGTTCTGCAAAAGGTGTTGGAGGTATAAATATACAGTTTGTTCGCCCACCCAGTATAGCTTGGTTATATGACTAGTTGGGATGTACTTACCTGGAAGTTTCTTCTCTTCAGTGGGGCGGAGGCATCTATTTTTTCCCCTCCCTATGAATCTGATATTGAGTGATGTAAGGGGACACTTATAGTGTGAAAATGTTTTGAACAACTGATGTCTTTATTCTACTGCCGTCATTTAAAAAAAAAGAACCTATATCAATAAAGAAGTTTGTTCAGTTTTTAAGGATTTCTTGACTTGAGTGAGTTTTAGGTTCTTATTGGGCTAGGGCTGTCCTGTGTCTGGCAGGGCGCCCTCGCTGGGTCCAGGGAAAAAATTGGCATAGCCCTGCCTGGAGCGAGTCTAGGCGTGGCCTAACCAGTTTGGATGCCTTCACCCCACTGAAGAGAAGAAACCTTCAGGCAAGTACAATGTTGTGCGCTGTGTCTCTCTGTCCAAATCAGGGGTCCCCAACATTGTGCCCGTGGGCTGTTTGGTGCCTGCCAACACCTTTCCTGGTGCCCACCAAGTACTTTTAGTAAGTGGAGGGGGGTTAGGTGGTGGTGGTGGGATTTGCCCAGCAGGGCTTCCAAAGGTTTCTGTCTGAAATGTCAGATACTTACTATTCGAGTTCTGTAGGACCTCACTCCCTGACATTTTGTGGTCTCCCTGAAGCAGCCCTTGTGTGAATTCTGCCCTGTGCCAGAATTCTAAAGGTGCCCACGGGTTCAAAAAGGTGACTGGTCAAGGAGCTGAACAGGCTGACCCTGTAAGTTCCCATAGCAAGAGCACACAAGTAACCAGACTGGTGTTATTAAAAAGTATTTATAACGTTTATTGGAAGAATAGACAAGTTAATATAAATATAGCCAGCAGATTACCAAAAGTCACATAGAACACAAAACAATAAAACTAGCTTTTATCTACCTAACACTTCTGAGAATTCTGTTAGGTGGTACAAAAAGTACATCCATGTTCAGGCCTCAAGTTAGCGCAGATGACGATTTCAGCAATTTGCCAAGCATAGATTCAGGCCTCTATCTGTGAAGTCTCAAAAAAGGAACTATAGCCCCCGGGAGGATATCATAATTATAGTTTTTGACCCCTCAGGTCAGGTGATGGTGACATCCAATCCTAACACGCCTTCAGGAAAATTCTCCTGATCTTCCCCCTCCCGAAGTAGTAGTAACCATCGATAGACTTATCCTCCATCAATCTGTCTATTCCCCTTTTAAAGCTGTTTATTCCTGTGGCCATCATGACACCCTCTGGCAGCGAATGCCACATTTTAATCACTCTCTGTGTAAAGTAGTATTTCCTTTTGTCCATCCTGAGTCTGCTGCTCATCAGCTTCATTGGACGCCCTCTTCCCACCAGGAGGGGTGGTCCCCCCCCCCGAGTCCTGTTATAGGGGAACCTTCAGTGGAAGATGTTTGGATCTGAGCTTGGAGACTCAGGTGCTGCCCCTCCCTCATCTGGGACAGCTGTGGCTCTGAGGCTGCCGGGCAAGGAGCACAGCTGGCTTACCCGGTGAACCGGGCCTCCTAGCCACAGAGGTCTGATCAGCCCGATCAGATTTGCACGTGACCTTGTGGAGCCAGGGTTAGGCTGATCCATATTTCTGTCTTGCAGCCCCTGGGAAGTCTGTGCACTGGAAGCTGGGAGCCGATGGTGACGTCTGGGTGTGGGTGATGGGGGAGCACCCGCTGGATAAGCCGTATGACCTGCTCTGTGATGAAGAGAGGAGGAGGCGGTCGCTGCCGGAAGCAGAGGCACTGAGGTCGGTATGACTCTTCCAACGTGCCAGTGAGCGGAGGGAGGGGGGGGGGGGGAATCTGGTCCTTCCAGTTTGCCAGGCTGACTTTTCCTGCCAGTCAAGAGAAGTTTCTTTGAGCCAGGCATGCAACAGTATAAAGCAGGAACGTCTCCTTTCAAGTTAAGCAGTTCCATAACACATTTTTTTTTTACTGTTCGAAGGCCTTTGCTTATCAACTCGACACTGGCAGAATGCATATTGTCCCCCACTCTCTTGGTCAGCAGCCATTTTTTTCCGGAATAACTGAAAAATAGTTTGAGTCCAGTCAGGCACCTTGAAGACCAACAAAGTTTGATTCTGGGCGTAAGCCGTTGTGTGCATATCTGGATCTGATCCAGGGTGCCTTTTGCACACGAAAGCTGCTACCCAGAATTAAACTTTGTCGGTCTTAAGGGTGCCCCCGCTGGACTCAAACTTTGTTCTGTTGCTTCAGACCAGCACAGCGGCCCCACCTGAAAAATAGTTGCAACTCTGTGGAATTCTCCCCAACTCCAGCTTCTCCATCGGCTATGTGAGCTTCTGGCATGCCCAATAGAGACCTAGTAGACAACACTCACAAGGTACTTAACATAATAGACATTGGAAAGCGAAACAAAATGGAAACGATCTTGCTTTCTCTAGACCTAGAGAAAGCCTTTGATTCGATAGAACAGTCATATCTAAAGGAACTATTGCGGAGGATGGGGTTTGGACAAAAATTCTAAAATGTCATCAATGCCATTTACAAAAACCCACAATCGTGCCTAAAAATTAACGACACCCTCTCAGAACCATTTAACCTGGAAAAAGGCACAAGGCAGGGGTGCCTACTGTCACCTTTATTATTTGCAATTGCAATAGAACCTCTAGCTAACATGATAAGAAAGTCGAATGGAATTGACGGAATTGAAATAGGGAAGAAAAATTACAAACTTACATTGTTCACGGATGACATATTGTTTCTAACTAACCCAAGCGAATCACTGATATCTCCAAAAGGTACTTGATGGATACAGCAAGGTCTCTGGTTTGAAAATAAACCAAACAAAATTAAAACTGATGCCCATCAGCATAGCTCAAACAACAAAGGACAAAATTCTAGATTCATCTAATTACGAATGGACTGAATCCACCTTAACATATCTTGGAATCAAAATTTCAAGAAATCTCAATGAATTAATAGAACAAAACCACATACATATATTTGAGGAGATAAAAACACAATTACAAAGGTGAGACAAAACAAATCTGAGCTGGACGGATAGGTACAACTTAATAAAATCCTTCATTCTCCCTAAATTCATCTTCCTTTTCAGAACCACACCATTGGAAATACCAAGCTCAAAATTAAGAGATTGGCAAAATACATTAAACAACGTCCTCTGGGCTCAAAAAAAAGCACAGACGAAGGGCACAAATATTATACAGATCCGACAACATGGGAGGAATGAAATTCCCAAGTCTAATGAACTACTACCATGCCACTCATCTCGCCAGATTAATAACCATGCTTAAAACAGAATGCACTCCAGACTGGATCAACATAATATCGGGAAATGCAAAAACTTTCACCCTCAGAGATATTATTTGGCAACAGGTTGGCTTTAGACCCAAAGAAGTGAAACAAAATGAATTTCTAAATGCAACATTAACAATCTGGGACAAATTCAGGAAAAACCTCACACCAACGATATCAAGGTTCTCCTCATTTTTTTGGAGAAGTCTGGTACCCCCGCCCAAGAGTATGCAAAATGGAGAGACGCAGGAATCCTAAAACTAGAAGACATGAATTGAATAAAGAGATAATGAGCAAAAACGAACTGGAAATTAAATTCAATCTTAGGATACCATGGTATCAGTACCTTCAATTTACTCACATGTGCTCAAAAATAAAGCTCAGAGAAATCTTACAAAAACTGGCAACTCCGACTCGCTGATGAGAAAGCAAAAAAGGGGTAATATCCAAAATATATGCCATTTTAAGAGTGTTACAAGAAAACAATATCAAAAATACTGGGAAACAATCTGCAAAACTGATCTCACCCAAGACAAATGGCTAGACATCTGGAGAACACATGAAAACAAACCCCCCATCATCACACAAAAATGGTAAAATTTCAGATTAATATCCAAGTGGTATAAAACTCCTCAACAAATTTCATACATCTCCAGCAATGCTGGTCCCCTTTGCTGGAGGGGATGTAAAGAAACAGGTAACTACATACATTGTCAAACCCAAAGGAGAACACAATGATACTACATGTATATGGTCTCCTATCTTATCATACCTAACTACCAAAGATTCAATACCCGATGTAATAGGTACTCTTCGCCTTTTGTAGCGTTTATAGCACAATACACAGTTTGATATATAGTATGAACTGTACGGAAAGAATCCTCACCACAGTATAGATTAGATTGATTAAAGCACTTTTTGTATGTATAACGAAAAATACGTTAATTATATGTATTTACCTATCTTGCATAACCCTGTTAATGAGATAATGAGAAAATTGCATAAAACTGATTTTGGGGGGAAAAGAAAAGCCCGTTCTTGTTTTTGGTCAGCAATAGTCCTGTTTGTTGCCTTTTCTAGGGAAAGTGATTGTGCAAATGGTGAAGGATCAACTTCAAGGTTTTCTAGTGGTTAAGGGCGCGGACTCTAATCTGGGAGAACTGGGTTTGATTCCCCATTCCTCCACTTGCACCTGGCTGGATGACCTTGGGCAAGCCGTAGTTCTGATAAGAGCTGTTCTTGAAAAAGAGCAGTTTCTGTCAAGAGCTCTCTCAGCCCCACCTACCTCACAGGGTGTCTGTTGTGGGGAGGGGGAGGGGGAGGGAAAGGAGTTTGTAAGCCGCTCTGAGACACCTTTGGGTAGTGAAGGGTGGGGTATAAATCCAGTCTCCTCTTCTTCTACATCCCCTGGCAGCAAATTCCACATTTTAATCACCCTCCGTGTAAAGTAATATTTCCTTTTGTCCATCCTGAACCTGCTCTTCATAGGACTACACTCAGAGTTTAGGAGAAAAGATCGAAATTCTAAAAGTTTACTGGAGATAAGAATAAGAAGAACAGATAATGGAGAGGAAGCATGTTTTTAGGAATTAAGGAGGTTTTTTTGGGGGGGGATGTCATCTATGCTGCCATGGGGGTGGGGAGGTTAGTTGTATGCTAATTGCCATTGCATTCCTTCTGTGCTTCTTCGCTGCTGTAACGCTTATCTCTAAGTTCTGCAGGTGGTGGAATGTTGATGTCTAGTTCTAAGGGAACCGTGGGAGCGAGCTTGGTTCTCAGCTTCAGCGCAAACGGCCGAAGCGCCTTCTCCCGCACGCGGGAGTGGGGCTAATTGGCCAGGGCAGTGGTGTGTGTGTGTGCATACGAATACCCTATATCCTATTATGCCCCAGGGGCAGCCGCCATTCTTAACAGTGCCTATGTTAATGCATCTATAGCTCTTCAATAAAGTATTACCTTTCCTGATAAGCATGTACTACGTTGTTGGCTGTGGGTTCTGACATTTTCAGGGTTGAAAGTGCATTTAAGCACTGCAGGGAGCTTAAACTTGTGTTTAACTCCCTCCCCTTGTATAACAGGGCACACGTTTATTGTACTTCACATAGACAAAGACTAACTCTAACGGCCAACAGGGCCAACTATATACATATCCACCAGCAACCCCCCCATTCCCATTGGAGGGTTTAAATGTCCCGCCAAGGTGGCTATTGGTTGGGGCTGGGGAATCCAGGATCCGAAGTTTCCTTTGTTTTCGGATCCAAGCTCTGGCCTGTCCACGGACCCCTGGAGGCGGTCCACGTACATAACAGGGAGCAAATGAGTACTTTGGAAGGCAGCTCATATGTATTATTTATTCATCAATTGTCATATCAGGCAAAAGTGTTTCACATTTATTAGCAATTTCAAATTTACATGAGACGTACTGGAATATAAATTCAATATAAATCTGCTGAGGGACGGCCTCCTGGACTCCGCCCCAGATACTTTGGACAGGGCTTTGGAGGCCGTTGCTGGGTGGTTGCAGCAGAGCCGGCTGAAACTGAATCCAACAAAGACGGGAGGTCCTGTACCTGAGCCAGGGTGTGTGTGCAAGAGCAGGAATCAGGCTCTGGCCTTTGGTGCCGGCACCAAGGGTAAGGAGCCTAGGGGTGGTCCTGGATGCTCCGCTTTCCATGGAGGCCCAGGTCACCACTATTGCCAGGTCAGCCTTTTGTCATCTTCAGCTGATCAGGCAACTGGTTCCCCATCTCTCCCCTTGGGACTTGGCTGCACTTGACCCATGCAACAGTCACTTCCAGGCTAAATGACTGTAACTCGCTTTACACAGGCTTCCCCATGAAATTGACTCGGAAGCTCCAGCTAGTGCAAAGTGTGGCAGCGTGCCAGCTGACCGTGACATCAGTGCGGGCGCACGTTCAGGTGGTGCTCAGCCAATTGCACTGGCTGCCAGTTGAGTATCGGATCCGTTTCAAGGTGTTTGGGCTGACCTTTAAAGCCGTCAGGGACTGTCTCTCCCCACATGTGCCCTGGAGAGCCTCCCACTCGGCAGATGATCATTTACCAGTTGTCCCCGGACGTCTGCCTAGCCTCGACCAGGGCCAGGGCTTGGCATGGCATGGCTTTAGCTGTCCTGGCCACGGCCTGGTGGAACATGGTTCCCACTGCAATCAGGGCCCTGTGGCAACAAAAAACACCGAGAAACCCCACTGGATGTGTTCCAAGCAATAGATTCCAAATCGTCTATGACAACTTTGGGAACCTCCCTGAAAAAAAGGACCTGAATCAGGCTGTTCCCCTGACTGCTCCCCCGTCCCCCCCCATTTTCCAAGCTTTTCAACAGTGTTAGCTGATTGACTGTTAGGTGTGAGAGATCAAATAGAATTCGTCTAGGTGACCCCCAAAGATCCCTTCCAACTCCTTGACACTCTATGAAAGGTGGAAGGGTGGCATTTGCTTCCATCATCCCAGATTGCTCACCCCCTTCACTCCAGTTCGAACAGAAAACAATGGGGTGGCTGCAATCGAGTGTCTGTACAGACACTCAGCCTACAACCGATCAAGGGAAGGGGCAGAACTAAGCCCCACCTTCAAAGTGGTGGAACTAAGCTTCACTCTCCTCCCCCCCCCCGCGAGGGTTCTTTTATTTAAAAGCTGGATCACTGTGAAGTGAGGAGAAGGGGGATTTGCTGGGCCGGGGGGGGGGAATGGATGGAGTGCAGATATGGGGGCATGACAGCAGCAAGTGGTGTGGGAAGCTATCCTGCTTCCTCTGGGGGGGGTGACTTTCCCCGCCCCCTGTGGAAGAAGCCTCTCCTGCACCTTGCGCTGCAGCTCCGGGGCTTATGGATGCAGTCCACCAGTGCCAAACCCCTCCCTGTGCTGTTTCCATAAGGCGTCTAGGGGAAGCCTTCACAGAGCCTTCCGTGACATCACCAGAAACCAAACTCACGTCAGGAGTGGAGGGTGTGAGAGAAAATTTCATGGAGCAGGAGATGCTGAAAGGGGTGAGACAAGCCCCAGCTGCAGGAAGTGCCCCCAATCAAGACGGCACCCAGGTAACTGTCCTGCTTTGTGTTTTGCTTATGAAAGTTTGCCTGAAACTGAGGAGGGAGTTCTGCAGTGCGTGTGATGGTGCTGGGGGTGCCACTTACCCCCTTCCAGCACGAGGGCTTCCAGTGATCCTTCTTCCGTATGCCGGTGCCAGAAGTCTCCGAGCCACTTGGTGTTCCATGGCAATTTAGATTTAGGAGGTGTCTCAGAGACATGGCGGAAAGGGGAAATCTATGGGATACAGCCGTTCCTGGACATAAGCTGTATAGGCAGGACAGGGAGGGATGGGTTGTTGTTGGTGTTGCATTGTACATCAAGGAGGGCATGGAATCAAATGTTTGAAAACATCAGGGGAATTATTAACTCCCCAACAGAAGCAAAATGGATGGAAGAGTTACTTAAAAGTGGGAGTGTACTGTGGGCATGGTCCGCCTGATCAAACCCTTTAAGCTGATCTTGAAATGGAGAAGGAAATAAGGGAGGTGACTAAAAGCAGATAATGTTATTATACTGGGAGATGTCAACTACCTTCACATTGATTGGGTAAACATGCGCTCAAGTCATGTTGTAGAAAGGAGATTCCTAGACATCATAAATGACTGTGTACTGGAACAGTTGGTCACAAAGCCAACTAGAGGGGTAGTGATCTTGGCTAGGTTCTGAGCCACTTTCAGGACCTGGTGAGTGAACAGTGACCACAATGCTATTAACTTTAGCATTCAGGTCAATGGAAAGTTACCCCTAAAGTCCAAAACTTTCTGTCTCAATGAACTGAACATGACCCCAGGCTCTGGCAAAAGAAATATAAGTCAATAATTAGGCATGCCAAAAGAGATTTTTGAGGAGCAGGTTGTCAAAAGCATCAAGACAAACAATAAACATCATTTAAAATAAATCTGGAGCAGGAAATCAGCCAGAGAAGTAGTGGAGCTTTTGGATGACAAAGGAATAAAGGGATTGCTAAAGGAAGATGGGGAGATGGCAGAGAATCTCAAGTACTTTTTTGCTTCTGTGTTCACTGTGAAAAGTGTGGGGTACGTACCCATGCCACAGCCACTGTTTTCAGGAAGGGAGTCTGAAGAACTGAGCCAAATTTAGGTGACCAGAGATAAAATTCTGGCCCTTTGGGGGAAATCAAAAACCGGTAAGTCTCCAGGTCCTGAGTTTTTAGGTAGAATTCTTATGGAACTCAGATGTGACGTAGTTGATCTACTAACTCGTATATGTAACCTATCACTAAATTTAGCTACTGTAGCAGAAGACTGGAGAGCAACAAATGTTACACCAATATTTTAAAAGGGATCCAGAGGGGAACCAGGAAATTACAGACCAGTCAGGCTCATGTCTGTACCAGGCTAATTAGTAGGAACTGTAGTCAAAGATAGAATGGTTGGGCACATAGAGGGACAAAGCCTGCTGAGGGAAAATCAGCATGGCTTCTGCAAAGGGATGTCCTGCCTCACCAAACCTTTGGAGTTCTTTGAGAAGGTGAACAAGCATGTAGACAACTGTAACCCAGTAGACATTATATACTTGGACTTTCAAAAGGCTTTTGAAAAGGTACCTCACTAAAGACTCTTGAGTAAACTTAGCAGTTAGGGTAGAAGAAGACGGGCTCTCTTATGGATTAAAAAGTGGTTAAATGACAGGAAACAAAGCGTAGGAATCAATGGACAGTTCTCACAATGGAGGGAAGTAAGCAGTGGGCTCCCCCAAGGATTGGTATTGGGGCCGGTACTATTTAATTATTCATAAATGATCTGGAACTAGTGATGAGTAGTGTAGTGGCCAAGTTTGCAGATGACCCCAAATTATTCAGGATGGTGAAAACCAGGGCTGACTGTGAAGAGCTCCCAGGGGACCTCCACAAACAGGGTGAGTGGGTGAGAATGTGGCAAATGAAGTTCAGTGTTGGTAAGTGTAAGGTGATGCATGATGGGAGAAAAAAAATCCCAACTTCAAGTATAGGCAAATGGGGTCTGAACTTGCTGAGAGGGAAAAAGATCTTGGGGTCATAGTGGATAGCTCAATGAAAGTGTTAACTCAGTGCACTGCAGTGGTGAAAAGGGCAAACTATGTTAGGGATTACTAGGAAAGGAATTGGGAATAAAATGGCCAATATTGTAGTGACCCTGTATAGATCTATGCTGCAGCCTCATTTGGAATACTGTGTACAGTTCTGGTCACCGTATCTCAACAAGCACATTGCAGAGCAGGGATAAGTACAGAGGAGGGCAATCAAGATGATTAGGGGGCTGGACCACCTTCCTTATGAAGAAAGGCTGAAGAGTCTGGGACTTTTCAGTTTAGAAAAGAGATTACTTAAGGGGGGGGGGACATGATAGAGATTAATAAAATTACAAGGAATAAGGGCCGTTGTGGAAATAAATACAATAAGCTCTAGAAGGAGGCTCTGGGCGGGTGCCCTGGCCTTGGGCACTCAGCGTCAATTTGCTTTGGTGACCTTGGCAGCATATAATGACACAGAATCCACTGTTTTCTCCAGGGGAACTGATCTCTGCCATCTGAAGAGCAGCTGTAATTCTGAGTGATCTCCAGCCCTCAGCAGTGATTCCCCAGGAGGGAATGGCTGGTTTGGAAGGGGGAGTCTATGGCATTGTACCTGTTTGAGGTCCCACCTCTCCTCAAACTCCACCCTCTCCAGGCTCCACCCTTCAAATCTCCCAACCTGGAGCTGGCAACCCTATCTCCTTCCAAGCCAACAATCAACCTACCGTTATCTGCAGCCTCCACCATGCTCTGAAGCCCTGACTGCTATGTCACACTGGCTGTCATAGGGGGGCCATCTCAGCAGAGTATAAGGACACAGAGTCTAGCATTTTATCCAGGGGAACTGATCTCTGCCGTCTTGAGAGCTGTTGTAATTCTGAGTGATCTCCAGCCCTCACCTGGAGATTGGCAACACTGGTTCCCCAGGAGGAAAAGTATAGTGTTTCTCTGCAATGGGGGTCAAAGCAGCTTACATCATTCTCCTCTCCCCCTTTGGACTTGCACAACAACCCTGTGAGGTAGGTTAGGCTGAAAGTCTGTGACTGGTCCAAAATCACCCACTCAGGGATCTCCAGGAATTTCCCAACCTGGAGCTGGCAACCCTAGTCAGGACTGACCCCAGTGAGTTTTCTCCCAAAGGCCAAAATAGGTGTAGAAAAGGGTCTCCTCCCCTACCTTTTACTGACAGAACCAAGCTTCGTTGTCTAGCAACAGGCACTGAGGGGAAAGTAGGGTTGCCAGCTCTGAGTAGGGAAATACCTGGAGATTGGGGGGGGGCAGATCCTGTGGAGGACAGCGTTTGGGGAGGGGAAGGACTCAGCAGGGTATAATGCCATAGGGCCTACCCTCCAAAGCAGCCATTTTCTCCAGGGGAACTGATCTCTGTCATCTGGAGATCAATTGTAACCGTGGGAGATCTCCAGGTCCCATTTGGAGATTGGCAACCCTACGGGAAGGTCAGCTGCACAGCAGGGGGTTGAAGAGAATGGTTTGATGGCTGCTGGCCCCCTTTGGTAGCCAGCCCTCCAGCCATGGCGGAGCCAAGCAGGAGAGACAGTCGTTTTCACAGTTTATTTTGACAGGAAAGTGGCTAAGCTGGCAGTGGAAAGGGGAGAGGGTTATGCTGAAAGTCTGTGAGTGGTCTGAAATCACCCAATCAGCTCCCACAGCAAGAACCAGGGTCTGGCAGACCTTGCTCTGAAGTATTGTTAGGCCACACTGGCTGTGGTATCGCCTGGTATCACAACTGAACTCCAGACAACAGATCTCTCTCTCCCCCTGCTCTCTCTCCCCCTGGAGAAAATAACTGCTTTGGAGGGTGGACTCTATGGCATTCTATTCAGCTGAGGCTTCTCCCCTCCCCCAAATCCTGGTTTCTGTAGACTTTAGCACAAAATATCCAGGAATATCCCAACCTGGAGCTGGCAACCCTAGTCAGGACTGGTCCCAATGAGTTCCCCACAAAGGCCTGGAAAGGGTTTCATTCCTTTGTCTTTTTACTGAAAGAACCAAGGTTGGTTGCCTAGCAACAGCCACTGAGGGAAAAGTTAGTCCCACAGGAGCCAAGCAGGAGAAATGTCTTCGTCCGGAGAGACAGCCATTTGGCAGTTATTCTGACAGAGAACAGTGGCTGAAGTGGCAGTGGGCGGGGAAGAGGACCCAGCACCCAGCCAATGGCACGTAAGTACTCTTTGAGTGGCGGTCTGATGGAGTACACTGCACAGCCAATGGAAGAGCTGGAAATGGCCAATACGTAAGGGAATTATTATTAAAGATGCAGGGGTTGAGAGACAAAGTGAAATTTTCCTCCCTCCCCCAAAATATTAGGGCATCTGATGAAGCTGATGGGCAGTAGGTTCAGGAAGGACAAAAGGAAATACTGCTTTACATAGAGTGTGATCAAATTATGGAATTTGCTTACAGAAGATGTAGTGATGGCCAAAGAATTAAACAGCTTTAAAGGGGGATTAGATAGATTCATGGACAATACATCTATCAGTGACTTACTAGCCATGGTGACTGGGGGGACCGTCCACATTCAGAAGCAGTCAGTCTCTGAATCTCGGAGCCAGGAGGCAACATCATGGGAAGGCCTCGGCCTCTATGCCCAGAGAAACAGAGAAACTGTTCGGCCACTATGTGAGACAGGATGCTGGACTACATGGACCACTGGTCTGATCCAGCAGGGCTCTTGTTATGTTCTCAATCCCCCACTGGTGCTTGAATTGAACACTAGAGAAAAAATGGAGGGAAAAACAGCAGCATGTGATGCATGACATCAGTTCCAGCAGAAAGCATGAAGTGATACTCTAGTTATCCAACAATCTCTGTCCAGATCTTCAGAGAGTGTTGGATTGCTAGAGTCGTTTCAGGGCTTTCAGCCAGAACTGGCATTGCTCATGACGCAACGCAATTCCCGCACTCTCCCCCCAGAGCCTGGCTAGTCTCCTGCTGCTGGGCTGGCTGCCTAGCTGATGCCTACAAATAACCCACAGCTAAAATCAGGGTGAAGGTAAGACACAAGTTAAGCCATTTCCTTGCCGTTGTGCTCGTTCTCAGGGCTGCTGCAGGTCTTGAAATGGTGACTTCTTGGCTATCAGACAGGAAGTTCAGCAGACCCACCAAATACACCACCTTGCCTCAATCAGCCAGATCAGCAGGTCCAGCTTCTGTGCTCCAGATGTGGTCAGGTGCCAGGATGACAGATAGTTTGTCCAAGCCATGCCAGAGATCCAGGAACATAAGAACATCAGAGGAGCCCTGCTGGATCAGAGCAGTGGTCCCTCTAGTCCAGCATCCTGTCTCACACAGTGTCCAGCCAGAGAGGCCCAGGTGGTCAGCCGTGTTGGTCTGAAGCCATAGAAAAAATTTAGAGTCCAGCCGGGCACCTTTAAGACCAACAAAGTTTAATTCTGAGTATGAGCTTTTGTGTGCAGGCACACTTTTTCAAATACATTGGAAGGAAGGTAAGGTTCAAACTTATAGACCGGGCCTGAACAGCGAATTAACATGTAACATGAAGAAGATGTTTTAAGATATGTGAATAGAAAGCTACATGATAAGCTAAGGTAGGTCAACAGCTGTAAAGTAATAAATATGTTAAAATAAGACTGAGACTCTCCATTCACTCCTCTCAGACATGGAGGTCACTTAACTGTATTTCTTTTTCAGAATATTATATTAGAATACTGAATGTAATACAAGGAATATTGGAATGTTTGGCTGACATACACTACGCCCACCTCTAAAAAGAAAAGAAAAAATAATCCCATATCCTCCCCTATCGCTGAACCTTCCCCTGCCTAACCACCCCCACTCTGAAGCCTGGCAGCCGCAGTGTTTCAGCTTGTGCAGAGAAGGCTATTTTACTTTCCCCAGCCTGCTCTCATGGTCCATACTCTGAGCCTAGGACCCAAGGGAAAACATGAAATGGCTGGGCATTGTAAGCTTCTCTTCCCTTCCAGGTCTACTCAGAGTTGGAAGTGACTGTCTTTCTCATAATAGGCCATAGCCTGGTTCTTTTACCTGGAAATGCCAGGGACAGAACTCTACATGCCAAGCAGAGGCTCTCAACTGAGTCATGACCTGGAAAGCCCAGGCAAAAACCTAATGCTAACTAAGCACTACCCCCAAGAAGAATGGAGGGACAGGGATTATTGATAACCCAGAACTCTAGCAAACCTAGGTGGCTCCTGTGTCAATAAACAGAAGAGAAAAGCCTCCATCAAGATGCATAACAATGTTTGGAAGCAACGAACTCGCCCACCACACACAGCAGACAGCTCCAGGAGACTCACATTGCTGGTGCCTCAAGTTCAATCAATGCAAAAGAAAACCACCCATAAGCACAGCAATTTAACAACCAAACTCTCTCCCCCCCCCCTTACACACAACAGACATAAAGAAACAGCTCCAGGAAACTCACATTGCTGGTGCCTCAAGTGCAATCTGTACAAAAGAAAATCACCTGGAAGCACAGCAGTGTTAACAACTCTCTCCCCCACCCACAGCAGCCTTAAAGAAACAGCTCCAGGAGGCTCACATTGCTGGTGCCTCAAGTTCAATCAAAACAGAAGAGAAAAGCCTCCATCAAGATGCATAACAATGTTTGGAAGCAACGAACTCGCCCACCACACACAGCAGACAGCTCCAGGAGACTCACATTGCTGGTGCCTCAAGTTCAATCAATGCAAAAGAAAACCACCCATAAGCACAGCAATTTAACAACCAAACTCTCCCCCCCCCCCCTTACACACAACAGACATAAAGAAACAGCTCCAGGAAACTCACATTGCTGGTGCCTCAAGTGCAATCTGTACAAAAGAAAATCACCTGGAAGCACAGCAGTGTTAACAACTCTCTCCCCCACCCACAGCAGCCTTAAAGAAACAGCTCCAGGAGGCTCACATTGCTGGTGCCTCAAGTTCAATCAATACAAAAGAAAACCACCTGGAAGCACAGCAGTGTTAACAACCAACCCCACCCACCCACCCCCGCAGACTTGGGGGGTCTGGATTTCCCCCATTCTGCATGACATCACCTCCCTTCATGGGTCAGCCCGGTTTCAGCCTGCTGTTTCCCTGGGTTATTTGGATGCAGTTTTGCCTTGGACTTAAATTGCCTTGACTTGAAAGCTGAGAAAATCCAGAGTGATATTTTCAATGAGTCTTGCGAATTCTTTTTGTTATGTTGTCAGGTAATTTTTTTCTTCTTTGTTAATGTGATCTAAGATTTTTGCCTTCAATTCTTCCTGTACAGAGGTGCTGTACTGGCAATGTCTCACTATTAATTATTGTTTTTTCAAGAGCAACTTCATTTTTATGGCCTAGGTCTTGGTTGATTTCATTTATTTCTTGTTCTTCATGTTCCTCCTCTGAGTGGCTGTTGCTCCTTATTTCATCTATCTCTGTTGCTGTGAAAAAGTTGTTTTGCATGATAGAATAGCACTGATGGTAGAATCAGAATACTTTTGATGGTAGAATCAGAATACTTTTCTTTCCATATTTTAAGCATCTGTTCCAAATATTCATGCTGTTCAGGCCTTGATTCAAAATAACATTGAGTGATGATTCTGTTTTGTTCCAGAAGCCCCCCCCCCCCCCTTTGTAGTTGTCGTCTCTTCGCAGGTCCCTGCTCTGGTTACTCTATAGAAGATCCTGCTTCCAGTAGCATATCAGGCCTTTGCCTCTGTCCTGTAGCCCATTTTTCTTTAAAGATCCAGGAGCACCAATGTCTGACATGGTCTTTGTTAGCCCTGGTACAGACTTTGAATGTGATTTTCTCACCATATGGAATGGGGGTTTGGGATGCATTTAGTCTGAGTCCTCAGCAGAGGCCTGTCCACCATGGGAGACCCTGCCAGCGGCTACGGGGCTGATAGCAGAGCCCTCCGCTTCACTGGAGCACACAGGCCCCACCAGCATGACAAACTAGCGGCCCATGGGAGTGTTGTCATTATTTTATGTAGTACTGTCAATTTACAAATGACTTTAGAGAGTCAGATACTCAGCTAAGAAGTCCCTATCCTAAGGGGCTGACAGAGGAAATGCACAGCTCAGAACCATTTTTCAGTAAAAATGCACATGAAAGCAGATTTGAATTTGCAATTAGTCCCGTGGAAATCCATAAGTGACCCTGGAGTCTCCGTATAGGTCTAGCACTGAACAGCTCCAATTTCTAGAGCAAAGTAGTTTTCAAGCTCCATGAGTGCTTGAGCTGCATTGCAGGTCTCAAGTTAGACAAGCCGGTAACGCAAGCAGCCAAAAAGGCCCACAGCTCTGGGATCTGTTGCCTGGGCCTAATAGCCCCCCCCCGCCCCCCTGGCTGCCAGCCGGCTCCTTGAGGCCCACCCCAGAGAGGCTGGTGCTTCAAACGCTGCTTGGGCTTCTTAGCACCCAACAGGACCACGGTTCTCTCCGCTGATCATCTTTTGTTTGTTTGGTTTCAGACTGCAGTTAGTAAGGCAAGAAGTGTAGAGGAGATGCTGGCAGATTCGATCAGTCACTCACGGAAGGTAAGGAAATATCGGTGTGTTTTTGCGAGGAAGGTATTCAGATGGAGACTAGTGCAGCACAGTGAATACTGGCATAAGCCATATTCGTAGCACAGGTCAAGGTCTTAAGTTGTGGTGCTTCCACATGGCAGGTTTCCCTGCAGCTTCCCTGCCCCAGTACTCCAGCAGCAGCTACCACAACTCTGTGCCACCAAGGGCTTCTTCAGGTTTTTATTTTTAATTGTCAATTGAGTATTGTTATATCATGGTAACAATCTGTATACTGAGCTCTCTGAATTCCCAGTTGTAATTTTTTTAAGTAAGTCTCTAGGTGCTTTCTTTTTGGAGCTATGCCTTTCCCTTTGTATCTCCACAATGAAAGAGGCCAGAGACTTACATTTAAAGAAAAAATAAAAACTGGGAATTCAGATAATCTGATACATAGATTCAGGTCTGTAGCGACAGCGGTGCCAAAAGGACAGTGCCCCATAAATCATTTCTCATGCCCCTTTAATCAGCACTAGGGGTTGATGTGAAACCTCTCGCACGTCTTTCAAGTGTAAAATTTCTACGTTAAAAAGGAAGGAGCGGAGGTAAAAAGGCATGAATCCCATCATAAATCCTCCAAGGGTGCATTCTTTATGCAGTTGGCTAGAACAAAACCAGCCATTGACAGGGCTGAAGAGTCCTGATTTTAAAAGGTTCTGGGGCCAGGTGGGGATGGAGTCAGGTTTGGGTTGCCAACTCCCGACTCTTGACGGGGTGCCCTTAACACCAGCGCCAGCTGCCTGGCTGTGACTCTGGATGCCTCCTTATCAATGGAGGCCCGGATCACAAACGTTGTCAGACTGGCGTTTTCCCAGTTATACAAATATAAAGCCACCAGTCGTGATAGTCTGACCCGCAATCAACAGTCATAAGACTTATAAGGAATGATGTACATGTATTGTGCTCTGAAGCATTACAATATGATACACAACTTAATAGAATTTATAAACCAAGGTACGTCGTCGTCTCCGGATTACCAACGTTTCAAAAAATGAATCTTCTTCAGGAGATATTATAGAGGTGCCAAAGCTCTCATTTTCATAAGTCTTAAGCATATACACAATTCAGATAGGACGCTAATCTCAATTAACACGCAGGACCCAGAAAAAACACTGCATGTTAATTGAGATCAGCGTCCTATCTGGAGATGTGAGGGATGGAGCCTGGAGAGGGTGAGGTTTCAGGAGGCGTGGGCCCTCGGACAGGTACAAAGCCATAGACTCCACCCTCCAAACCAACCATTCCCTTCTGGGGAACCATAGTTGCCAATCTCCAGGTGAGGGCTGGAGATCACTCAAAATTACAACTGTTCTTTAGGTAGCAGAGATCAGTTCCTCTGGAGAAAATGGTGAACTCAGTGTCATTATACCCTGCTGAGGTCGCCACAGCAAAGTGACACTGAGTGTCCAAGGCCGGGGCACCCACCCAGAGCCTCTTTCTAGAGGCCGTTGTATTTATTTCCACAACAGGCCTTTTTCCTAGTGTTTGAATAAAAGGAAACACATGTCACATGTGAGTAATTAGCAGAGAGGGAGGCAATGGATGCACTGAGCATTTTCTTCTACGTGTAGCAGAGGAAAGACGCACAAATGAGGAGCGCCACGAGTCAGAGCCAGGCGCAAGGAGAAGCACCCCCCAATCTTGCTGGCAAGTCAACGCAGAATGCAGACAAGGAGGATCCTGTTTGGCTGGAATCCCGTAAGCTCTCTGATGTGACCCCCGAGGTCTCCGGGTGAAGGTGCACCGTGGTTTCGCGGGTGAAATGTCACCATGAGAGAACTCTCCTCCACCATTCTCCTGCTTGAAATGTTCTCCTATGCGATGATTTCTTCAGCACATAATTTTCAGAAACCTTTGGGAGGGGACCAGAGCTCAGTGGAAGAGCTTAAGGCAGCAGCACGTGCTATTTCTCCTTCCCCTTTTGTTCCTCACAACAACCCTTTGAAGTAGGATAAGCTGAGATAAAGTGACCGGTTAAAGATCACCCAGGGAGTTTCATTACAGAACTGAACCAGCTCTCCCCGGACCTAGTCTGAAATTCTGCATCACTGTACCACACTGGCTGTCTGCAGTAAACGTCCGCCATTCCCAGTTAGGAAGCATATTCAGCATCAGGGCTTGGAGAAGACCTCTGCCTGAGGCCCCGGTGCAGAACCTTCAGGCCAGTTTGGAAATCCCAGAAAGGCTTGGGGGCACCCCTGCAAAAGGGTGTTGAGAGGGTGATCTCTGTCGTGTGTCCAAATGCCCTCTTCCCCCCCTTCTTCTGCACTGGCACTGTGAACTGCCTGGGTATCGTTGCTGCTACCCAAAACTGGGGGGGGGGCAAAACCCCCTAAGGGGGAGGAAGACACGGTCAGGGGGAAAGGCTGCTGGTGGGCTGGGAAATGTGAATGTTCTGACCCACTCAGCGGCCATCCAGGCATCACTGTAATTTTCCCCAAAACTTTGGAGCGAAAGGGGCTTGAGAAGAACAGCATGAGGGCGGGGGGGGGGGGGTAAAGGTGCATGCGTGTGCCACAGAGCTGTAGGGAAGCAGGGGGGAAAAGACACATTTCCCGAAGGCACTGAATTCAAAAGGCAGAGAGCGCCACTAGGCGGATGACCTCTTTAGCAAACAGCAACACTGATTCCTGGTAGTTGAGTAGCTCTCAAAGACCGTAACTGTGTGTGCCACGAAAGAGAGAGAAATGCCTGATGGTAACTTTTCAGGGAGTTTCACAAGCATTCCAGTTTCAGAAGCTTCTTAGGCTCACTAAACAAAACCAGATCTATGATAAGCCAAGACCGTCCTGTCGCGTGTGCATGACTGACATTAAACCGCAGTTTGCCTGGCCAAGACCCACTGCCCGTCAGACCAGAGAGGACTGGGCTAGTGAGGCACCCCAGGCCTGACCTGCTGACCCCCTTTGAGTGTGTGTTGCTGGTGCTTCGTTCCAGGCTCCTGGACTTTTCAGAACAGAGGTCTTGTGTGATGGGGTTGCCCCCACCCCCACCCCTCCCTGCCCACGTGCAGCCTTGGCCTTAGCGGTGAAAGGCGGGAGGGCTCCATGACACACGGGTCCTCCTCTGCTCCTCAGCCGCTCCCCTCCCCAGGCTTCATAGGCGAGACACCAGCCTGTCCTCAGCTTTTGCCCTGCAGGCGGGGGCATGATTTGTGGGGGCTTCCTTCCCCCTCCCCAAGTGAGGAGTACCCATCAGGAGGCGGGCCCATCCTCTTCTGCACCTGTGATTGGGAGCTGCAGGGGGGCGGGGACTTAGGCCTGACGTGTCTGACATGTGTTCTTCCTTCCTGGTGCCCCACCATGGGGGCAGGAAGTGGCTATGCTGGACCTCTTTGGCAGGCTTCCATCAAGAGCCCCACCTGGCCCACCGCTGTTCAGTGGGGGCTGAGGACTCCCTTGAAGCCAGAGACTGGGGAGTCCTCCCTCTCCATGCCACACTCCCCGGCTTCCGTGGGGTTGGACGGGAGGCCCTTAGTGTGCCCGATGATCCCGTCTGGCTCTGGAGGGGGCAGGCCACAGGCTCCTCAACAAAAAGGGTGCCTCTGCTGAGAGGGATGCCCGCGCCAGCTTCACTCCTCCCCCAGGCCCAGTGGTGGGCCTCCTTCTCAGTCATCTCCTTCACCCTCTGGGTTGGTCTGGGATGTTTCTTGCTGATCTCCTGAGCTCTGTGATGGGTGACTGTAGCATATAGCTGTGGGGACAGTTTTTGCGGGTCTTGCGCTGCCGTGATGTGCTGTAAGCTGTCTCGGGCATCATTTGGAGGAGGGGGTTGGGGGCTGTTCATTCAGTGAGCACATTCTAGGCCTTCCCCAAAGGGCTGGTGAACAGTCTTGCTCCTCTGGTTGCAGTGAGGCGATCCAAAGCAGCCGACGAACGGCGGCGTTCCCTCGCCAAACACGCACGAGACGACTACAAGAGACTCTCATTGCAAGGCAAGAACAAGGGGAAAGCGGCAGATGTTTCCAGGACCTGCAAGACAGGGGAGCAGAGACGGGTGCTCCCTCCTGCTCCTCCTCTGCCACCGAAGCCCAAGACCCTCCCTCCCAGTGCCAGGCTAGCCAATGGACCACCAGCCTGGTGAGTAATCTACTTTAATTGCAGATCTTAATTGTAAATTATGAATTGTTTTAACTGCAAATCTGCATTATTGTAGACCTCTGTCTTGGTACCCACCCTGAGCCTACCTTGTGGGGAGGGCAGGACAGAAGTCTAACAAAATAAATAAATAAATAAGCCAACGGTCTGGCCAAGATGGAGGGAGGGGGGATAGGTGAAGCCAGGAGTGTGGTGGTATATCCTGCTGGCCGTGCTCTGGTTGTCTGTCTCTTGAAGACTTTGCAAGGTAGGCAGAGAATCGCTTCACCCGGTTGCAGGCTTGTGTTGAGCATTGCCTTGTGCCCCAGCAGCTTAGCCAGAACCTGAGGGGGACTTTGGCAGAGCTCTGCTGCGCTCGTGTCGTGCGTCCTTGTGCTTGGCGTGGGATGCAGTTGAAGCTGAGAGAGCTCGAAAGGGCCCCCACAGAGTGCTTCCGCGTGATCTGACCCTGCTTCCGAGGGCTAAGCAAACTGCCTCACAGCTGAGATGATGGGTCAGGTGAAGACCAAAGGCACGGAGCGTGTGTGTGGAGCAGCAGAGCTCTGAGACAGAGTGGGTAGGTTTGTAGTATGGAATGAGAGACAATGCCAGCAAAGCAACAAAGGTAACATTTGTAAAAGGCAACAAGAGATCTTTATTTGTTAAAAGTGAACAAGTGAGGAACCATCTGGGTCTGGGGCATGCGGTCTGCTGAAGGACTCAGGTGCTCTTTTGCCATGACAGGAAGCCGGGGGTCCAGAGGAGCGCTTCCACTTCTACACAGGAGAGCATCGTTCAGTGGTTCAAGGCCGAGCAGCTCCCTCTCCGTGCGGGCTTTGAGAAGGCGGCAGACCAAGTGGCTCCCTGGTTCCACGGTGAGAAAGAAAGGGGCCGTGAGCCAGAGAGGGCTGGCCGGGCGGGGTGGGCACACTTTCCACTCTTTGCTCTCGTCCTCTCAGTTCATCTCTCCCAGTTGAAATACTGCCTGTAAACACTTTGGGGCAGATGCTTGTCCTTCACCTGACCGGCAACTGCCTTGCTGCTATATAAATAATCGGGGTCTTCTTGGGCCGTCCCCTGCCGTGGGAAGGGTTCCCATGCCATCCGTGTCCTGGTGATGGGAACAAATCCCATCAGCAGAGCAATCCTCCGATCCCACCATGGTGGCTGCACGGCCAGCATCTTGCATAAGAAGCCGAAAGAGCCCAGCTGTGCCTCTTCCAGCGGCAGAACTGCTCCCGAATCTATGGCTTCAGCACTAGCCCTGCGAAGGCATCATGCGGACTGTGCCCACACGTCAGCCACGTGTGGAAGGAGCCAGTTCCCAGGCAGCAGCACTAGCACGCCCCCAGAATACCACTGTGCCCCACCAATCGGACAAAACTGAACCTGGGAGAGATGAGCCCAGCACTCTTGGCCATTTCAGTCACTGTGGCAGACGCAAAAAGGAGGAGTCCTGCAACCAATGCGCTCTGGGGGTCCCCACTGAGTCCTGATCAGAAGCCGGGACATGGCAGCCCCCAGAGGCTCTTCCAGTTCCCGTGTTCCCTCCCCCTTCCCCTTTGGCGTAGGAGGGAGAAGCTGCAGTCCCTCTCCCATCCATCGCCTCTGTGGGTGTCTTCCTGCAGTCTCTGTCTGTGCTGTTCTCCCCAGAGACCAGCCTGCAAAGCAGAACAGGCTGGTAGGTGCCTGTTGGCTTGATTGCTGCCTGGCAAGAGCTGGCCCTGCCCCGGGTGGCCCCATCTCTCATCAGATCTCAGGAGCCAAGCAGGGCCAGCCCTGGTGAGTAGGGCTTGGAGGGGAGACCGCCCAGGAGGGAGCCCAGGGCGGCTCAGCAGAGGCAGAGGCCAGGGCAAGCCCACCTCTGGAAGTCACTTGAAGAAGAAGAAGGATTGGATTTATACCCCGCCCTTCACTTGGAGTCTCAGAGCGGCTTACAAACTCCTTTCCCTTCCCCTCCCCACAACAGACACCCTGTGAGGTGGATGGGGCTGAGAGAACTCTGACACAAACTGCTCTTTTTCAAGGACAACTGTGCCAGAGCTTGTGACTGACCCAAGGTCACATCAGCAGGTGCAAGTGGAGGAGTGGGGAATCAAACCCGGGTCTCCCAGATTAGAGTCCGCACACTTAACCACTACACCCAACTGGCTCTCTTGATCATTTAACATGGCCTTTTCCACTGAATGTACTTCATAAGATGGGCTGTGGCCCTGAATTCTGGAACTGGATGCAAGCAAAGATTTTAAGAAATGGAAGATCAACAGAAGCAATTTCAATCGAGCAATGAACACGCCAGGGATTTTATCCTAGCAATAAAGAGTTTAGTTACAAAAATCAGGCAAGACACAAGGATCAAAGGAATAAAAGTGGATGATGTAGAATTTAAAACGAAAAGCTATGCAGACGATGTTGTTCTAACAGTCTTGGATTCCCCAAAATTGTTACAGCACATAATGGAACATATTGAAGTATTTGGATCCTTCTCAGGATATAAAACCAACAGGAAGAAGACAAAAATGATAATGAAATTCTTAACGCAGCAAGAAGATATTATAAAGTGTATAGAATGTACAGTAGCCACAGATTCCTTTAAATATCTGGGAATGAATGTGATGGGCAAAACTGTAATCTTTAAAAAAAATTATTATTAGAAGACCTGGAAATTGATACAAGCAGATTTCTCCAGATGGAAAAAAATCTCATGGCTGGGAAGAATCTCTGCAATCAAAACAAATGTCTGGCCAATGTCTGTGATGCAGCAACAAAAAAAGCTAAAGCGATCTTGGGGTGTATCAACAGAGGCATAACATCCAAATCGCAAGGCATCATAGCCCCGCTATACACTGCCTTGGTCAGGCCGCACCTGGAGTCTTGTGTGCAGTTCTGGAGGCCTCACTTCAAAAAGGATGTGGACAGAATGGAGTGAATGCAGAGGAGAGCGACGAGGGTGATTGCGGGCCTGTGAGGAAAGGCTGAGGGACTTCTTGGGAATGTTCAGTCTGGAGCAGAGGAGGCTGAGGGGGGACAAGATGGCTCTCTTGGAGTATCTGAAGGGCTGTGTCACTCAGAGGAGGGCAGGGAGCTGTTCCTGTTGGCAGCAGAGGACATGACTCACAATAAAGGCAGGAAGGTACCAGCTGGATATTAGGAAACACTTTTTGGCAGTCAGAGTTGTGCCACAGTGGAATCAGCTGCCTGGGGAGGTGGTGAGCTCCCCCCCCCCCAGTCTTTAAGCAGCGGCTGGACAAACACTTGCCAGGGATGCTCTCGGCTGGTCCTGCATTGAGCAGAGGGTTAGACTAGACGGCCCATATGGCCCCTTCCAACCCTGTGATTCTATCTATGAGTCTCTATAATTATGCTACATAATCCCTCTTCTCCTTTTTGTATCCCCTCTATACTATGGATTTGTTTTCTAAAAAAGATTGTATGTGTGTGTGTGTGTGTGTGTGTGTGTGTAAACCCTAACCCCCGCCCCCAATACTCTCAAAAGGCAGCAATAGTACTAAATGCCAGATTAAAAGTCCCCCTGCCACACGGAACCCTGCCCTCTGCCCCTGGGCCCTCAGAGGTCCGGGGGTAGGTCTCCAAGGATGGTTATTGTTCTGTGGCAGAACAGGCCAGCTTTGACTTCCAGGCCCTGCCCTGCCCACCCTCTCCTAGGTGTTGCCAACTCCTGGATGGGTTTATCGTTTCCTTCCACTCAGGTACTCACAGTCACCACCTGATTGATTCAGGGATTTCTTGCTGAGAGGAGCAGGACTCTCAACTTGCCTTCCAAGTTCAGAGAGCCAGTTTGGTATAGTGGTTAAATGCGCAGACTCCAATCTGGGAGAACCGGGTTTGATTCCCCACTCCTCCACTCACAGCTGTTGGATGACCTTGGGCAAGCCATAGTTCTGTCAGAGCTGTCCTTGAGAAAGAGCAGTTTGTGTCAGAGCTCTCCCAGCCCCACCTACCCCACAGGGTGGCTGTTGTGGGGAGGGGAAGGGAAAGGAGTTTGTAAGCCACTCTGAGACTCCAAGTGAAGGGCGGGGTATCAATCCAATCTCTTCTCCTCCCCCTCCTTCTTTGACATTGTGTGGTAACATTCTAGCATTTGTTACCATAGAGTTTTGCTTAAAATGCTAGAATGTTGCCGCCCGCATGATGTCCCTGGCGTGATGATGTCATGTTCGTATGATGTCATCACATCAGCGACACTGCTGTACAAGGAGGCTCTTTGTGGGTGGGGCTTCCCCTGCTGGCCAGTGGTGGCCTGAAGCCCCAAAAATTGGGGGGAACCCCACCCGGACCAGGGGTCTGGGTACAGTACTAGCTCAGCAAACAGATTTCAAAAGAAAATTGGTCATAAACGCAATCCCCTTTCCCTGTTCTAGACGTACCCTAACTGATGTTAAAATAGGGCAGGCACTAATGATCTTAGAAGGTAACAATGTTCCTATCTGTGTCTCATTACTCGGGAGACTGCATGGTCAGGAAAAGATGGCCGCCTGCTTGCAGACCAGAGCTCAAGAGTTGTCCATCCCCCAGTGCAGCATTCCAACGAAGAGAGAGCCCCTTCACCTTGCAAAGAAATTTTCTTAACTCCCTTTTTCTACCCATTTTACATCACTCCCTCTACCTCCTTGACCTGGTCCGCCCAGGTCGCAGGTGCCTCCTGAGAGCCCTCCTGGAAGGCATCCTTGGAAATCGGGAGTCCTCCAGGGCCCATCGAGAAGGCGCCAACATCACCTTCTATTTATTTATTTATTTATTATTCAGATTTGTACCCCGCCCTCCCCCGTAGGGCTCAGGGTGGCTTACAGGGCAAGATATAGACAACAATACAAAAATAACAATATATCTGCATTATAAAAACGTTATATACAGTTTAAAACCCATCCTATATCACATAAAGTGCTCGGTGATAACTAACTTCAAAACCCAAGATGGCGGGACAGTTCCAAACAATTCTTGGGAGACAGTCTATAGGGGAGGGATTTCTCTATCTTGGGGTGGGGTGGGGGTGGCAGCAGCCGAAATGGCCCTCCCACGGGTCCAGGTCAGATATATTTCAGGTAGGACTGGTCCCCCCACCCGAGAAGGCCTCATCTTAAATCCCAGGCAGATTGAAATGAGAGGAAGATGTCTTTCAGACATTCAGGGTTGCTTTCATGTTAGACCAGTAATGCTTAAACACCTAATGGGCAGCTTCACCAGCACTTAGTCGGCACCATTGAACAGTCAACCAACTGTATTCACACAGCTTATCTATCCATTCATTTACTTAAAACATTTCTATGCCGCCTTTCCACTCAAATAGGGTTCCCAACATGGTGAACATTTCAAGCATTAGAATAATTCCGACATTAAAACCATCCGACAGTGTTTAAAATACAGATATATAAAAATATTTTAAGCAATCAAATAAAACACATAAACACATATAAACATACAAACAAGGAGGGGGAAAATAACAGTTAATGAGGGAATGCCAAACAAAACGAAAAAGTCTTCACCCGCTGGCAGAAGATGATGATGGACAGAGACAGACCAATCTCCCTGGGGAGGGAGTGCCAGTTGATTGCCCCCTGCCTAGCCTGGGGCGGCAGGGCCTCCCAAGACGACTGGAGTGGGCGGGGAAGTTCGTATGGGAGGAGGAGGAGGTGGTCCTTACGGTCTGCTTGCCTCAAGCCATAGAGGGCTCTAAAGGCCAATGTCAGCACCTTGAATTGGGCCCAGAAGTAAACTGGGAGCCAGTGTAGATGGAGTAAGATTGGAGTGATGTGGTTCCTAGAGTCCAGTTAACGTTCTGACTGCAGCATTCTGTAACAACTGTAACTTCTGGACAGTCTTCAAGGGCAACCACACGCAGAGTACACTGCAGTAGTCTAATCAAGATGTTCCCAGGGGCAGGCACCACAGTGGCAAGATTTTCCCCTCCCTGGAAGGACTACAGCTGGCTCACTAGCCAAAACGGGTGAAAGGCACCCCTGGCCAGTTCTGCCACCTATTTATCCAACAGAAAGGTTGAGTCTAGCAGCAACCTGTTCCTTTAGAGGGAGTGCATCCAGGACAGGAGATGTCTCAGTTTCCATGTCAGGCCATTCCACCACCAGTAGGACTTCTGTTTGTCAGGCTTATGGTTCAGGCTGTTAGCTCTCTTCCATCCCAAGGCTGCCTCCAGACACCTTTCCATAGTTTCCAGAGCCTCTCTGGGAACAGCTGGAAGTGCGAGACAGAGCTGAGTGTCATCTGCATATGGGTGGCAACTCAGCGCAGACCTCCGGGGTGACCCCTCCCTCGGCAGCTGTACACAGATGTTGAAAACCACGGGGGGTGGGGGGAGGAGCCGCCGCCACCCTCCAGCGCCGCCCACTGAGCCCCACCTTCCAAGTTGAACCAACCCACCTCAGAGCCCTTCCTCTCCGTCCCCACCCCAAGGCAGTCCAGAAGGGTCCCCTCATCAAAATAACTGGCGGGAGGCCCAGGAGAACAATCCGGCTCACTCACTCCCTGTCCGTCTCCCAGCGGAGGTCATCCAGCGGGGCCACCACGGCCACTTCGCTCCCACAGCCCGTCCTGAATCCAGACAGGAGTGGATCCAGCCGATCTGCTTCCTTCAGGAATCGGTGAAGTTTCCTTTTTTTTTTGGTAAACAAATTTTATTTTCTCAGGAATACAACATATAAAACATTTCATTCTATCAATTGTCTACCCCATTCCCAGTTCCTCCCCTCCCTCCAATGGCTTCCCACAATGCTTCCACCCCTGCTCCAAATTACTTCATATCATCAACAATATCAGTTTTTCATCATTACAATCTAAAGATAACATCGTTTGACTGGAATCGGTGAAGTTTCCTAACCAGCACTTGTTCAGTCACCTCGCCCAAGGATGGTGTATCGGAGACAACCACACCACTGCCTACTTCAAGGCCAGGGCAGGAGTTTACCTTGCAAGGCTCATGGTATAAACCATACCAGGCCTTGGCTGTGTCCCAGCACCACCACCCCTGATCAATGTTCCCTCTGAGCTGTGTAGTCTTGTGAGCAAAAATTCTACTTTGTGAGCTACTGCCATTAAAGCTGTGAGCGAGCTATTTGGCTGCTGCTTAAATTAGTTTGCTCTGGAGCCATCCTTCCTGAGCCGAGACAAAAATGTGTGAGCCGGAGACTAAAAAACTGTGAGCTAGCTCACACTGACTCAGCTTAGAGGGAACACTGCCCCTGATCTTCCCTAGAAGAATTCCTGGCGTAATTTTCCCTTCACACTGTCTGAAAAGGTGAATTGTGAGTCATAAAATCTCCTATTGAAATAAATGCTGTTAGTTTTCAAAATGCCCCTGGACTTTTGTGCCACTTTGCTACGACGGACTAACATGGCCACATTACCCCGTTGCCCTCCTGTGGCTCACCTTTTGTCTTTAGAGAGCGGATCCCGGCACAGGAGAGCAGTTTTAACGAGTGAGGCTATGGGGGACTTGAAATATCTCCTTGCCAGGCGCTCCCAGCCTGAACCAGGTCCTGCACAGCTGAAATGACTCAGGGAGTTCCCAGGACCTCCATCTCCTCTCCTCTTATCCTCACAACTGGGGGTTTACGTGGCTGGAAGCAACAGCAGCAGGTCTGGTGAAGTGGGGGAAGAGGAGAGGAAGGCCCGGTGGGCAGAAGAAAAGCTGGGGGTGGGGGTGGTGTTCTTCTGAGTTCCAAGAAAAGGCCCACATGGTTGTTTTTCAGAGACAACCAGCCAGCAAAAATGGTTTTCTTATGTCCAACTGGTCTTTGATTTTGGAATGCAGGCATTTTGACAACAAAGGAGGCCGAAGAGCTGCTCAGCCATTCCGTGCCTGGGACCTTTTTGATCCGGGTCAGTGAGAAGATCCAAGGCTACGTCCTCTCCTACCTGTCCGCGGAGGGCTGCAAGCACTTCCTGATAGATGCTTCGGGGGAGTCCTACAGCTTCCTGGGGGTGGACCAGCTGCAGCATTCCACGCTGGCAGACTTGGTCGAGTACCACAAGGTGAGCACCTTCAAATGCTTTTGGTGGGCGGGGCCCTTTTCCCTCTGCGGGGAGCCAGGAAGGCGCTGGGTGTGGGGCGTCCCTACTAGAAAGTTCGGGCAGAGACAGGAGATCTGACTGGAACTTTCCACCATTTTGAAAAATAAATGGCAGCTGAGAATAATTCCAGTTTGGATGGGGTCTGTGCATGGGGTTGCCAACTCTGGCTAGGGAGGTTTTGGGGGTGGAGCCTGAGGAGGGCGGGGTTTGGAGAGAGAAGAAGAAGAAGAGTTGGTTCGGTACCCCGTAGCCCTTCACTACCCGAAGGAGTCCCGGAGTGGCTTACAATCGCCTTCCCGTCCTCTCCCCACAACAGACACCCTGTGAGGTAGGTGGGGCTGAGAGAGCTCTGAGAGAACTGATCTTGAGAGAACAGCTCTAAGAGAACTGTGACTGGCCCGAGGTCACCCAGCTGGCTTCCTGTGGAGGAGTGGGGAATCGAACACAGTTCTTCATATTCGAGTCTGCTACTCTTAACCACTACACCAAACTGGCTCTAGCTGAGGGACCTCAGCAGGCTATAATGTCACAGAGTTCATCCTCCAACGCAGCTTGTTTTCTTCAAGGGAATTGGTTGCTGTCATCTGGAGACCAGTTGTAATAGCAGGCGATCTCCAGGTCACACCTGGAGGTTGGCAACTGTGTCTGCACAGGGGAGACCGGGGGGGGTTATAAACCTTCCGCCCCTCCACAACTTCACGTATTAAAACTACACCCCTCGCATTCATCCACACGCAGCACTTTAATGAGATGTGGAGGGGGGGGGAAGGTGTCTGCATTCCTTCCTTTCCAGAACTCACCCCCGAATGGGGGCGGGTGCAGATCCTCCCCCCCCACCCCCGCTCTCCATCCTGGGACTGCCTCGTTGTGGAGGCTGGCTGGCTGGGCACACCGGTCGGCCGTTTAGCTTTTTTGAACACTGGGAAGGTCTGACTCTGGGTCTCCCCAGCACCTGGCCTGTCATTGTTGCCACTCATTTGTCCCTATTGCTTTGGGATCCCCCCCCCCCGCTTTTCCACATGTGTTTTGCTCCCTCTGGGACTGCTCGAGAGAGCAAAAGACATTGCGGGGGGGGGGATGGGACCCTGAAGCAATAGGGGGCAAGCGGGTGACAAAAGTGACAGTGCAGAAAGTGGCCTGGAACAGGAAAAGAGGCGGCCTTTCAGAGGCCCCGGGGGGGGGGCAAGGCCCTCGTGAGGGCAGAGTCACTCCTGAACGGCCATAAATCTGTGCAGACGGCCACCACGAAACCGAGAGACCCAAGGACGTGAAAGGGGCCTGCAGTCTGGACACTGCCATAAGATGCCACACTCAGTGGAGGTGGAAGTGTGCCACGCAGAGGGGGATTGATGCTCCAGGGCGGGTTTGGTCAGACCGCGGAGGGAATATGCCAGATGCAGGTGGGGCCAGAGAGCCTTTCTGAGGCTGATGGGCAGAGGAGGTTCTGAGCTGCCCCCTGCATTCCTCCTGCGGAAATGTACAAGTTGCCCGTGGAGATGGGGTGTGACTTGCACACACCGCTGTCAAAAACCTGCTGTGGTGGGTGGCTCTTAAAATCGTACCACGCAGCCCCACCAGACCTGATTGGCTGTGCCTCTGTGTGGCCCATCAGCCCTCCCGGCCTTGATGCAGGCTGCAGTGGAAGTGGTTTCAGCTCTCTGGTCCATGAATGCCAAAGGATCGATCCTCATCTGTAATCCGTTTCTTTGGACAGGATGAGCCCATCACGTCTTTGGGGAAGGAGCTTCTGTTTTTCCCCTGTGGCCAGCAGGGTCAGGAGCCCGATTACCTGGATCTCTTCCAGTGAAGCCTGCCGTTTTTATCCCTGGCCATGTAGAGGAATGTTCCTTGGTGTGGAGTTTTGGACTGAACCACAGCGACCGTCTTCCAGCTCTTCCCATGGCCTCTCAAGCTGCAGATATGTTTGATGATCAGGACATTAAAGGCTGGTCACTCTTGTCCGCTGACTGCTATCAGCCATTGGACAAAAAGCCCCATCAAGGTAAGAAGAAACAGGACACAAAATTCTAGTGGCATGAAGGAAAGGACAGCAAAACAAGCTCCTTGTGCAACGGCATTAAACTTCCCGCCATCTTTGTTCCTGCTAAAGCCTGCCATCGTGCACTGTTGAAAGGAGGTGACATTGCACATCTCCCAAGTATGAGTTCCACCATTTCCTGAAAAATACTTGAAAGGGTTGTCTTGTTGGTAAAAGACACCTGGAGAAATACTAAGAGTTGCCTTTGTAGCAGCCAGAGGGTGAGCACGCTCTGCTCCCAGAAGCTGGTGGCGGGGAGGGGGGGGGAGGGGATGTAATGGAGAACTCTCCGCCGTGGCCACTGAGACTTCGAAAATAAACCAGTGCCAGCATTGCCCCTCGGCTTGCTTTAGTCTTTCCAACGGGTCTGGCTTGCCACTGAGTGAGGAAGTCCCCTCTGCTGCTGGGTTGAGAAGAAAAACCTCAGTCGTCCGTAATAAAGATGTAGTGGATGGAACGTTTTCTCCGAGACCCGTTGCCTCTTCTTTGGCTCTTTTCCAGACAGCCACTAGACTTCCTTGTTGTTAATCATCAGTACGACATAACTGGGAGGAAAATACACTCTCCGTGTTTAACTGAAGAACAAGGCTGGAGTCCAGGCGGGCACCTTGAAGACCCACAGAGTGTAATTCTGGGCGCAAGGGTTCGTGTGTGTGTGTGTGTGCAAGCTTTGCATGCCATGAATGTGACTGTGTGGCTCTCCAAGGGGCCCGCCTGGACTCCGGCTTTGGTCTGCTGCTTCAGACCGACACGGCGGCCCCCACCAGACCCAATATCCAACGGGTGCTTCATGGAGGATTGGGGGCAGGACCTGTGGTGGGGCAGCTGGCAGGGCCCAGGGCTTCTGGTGTGCCCCCCGGCCTGCCCCCATGTGCTCCCCACGGTCCCAAGAGCAGGGGAGAGCCCGTTTATGGCCCCACGGGTATTCCTCTGCCCTCCAGTAAACCTCAGAGAGTCGCTTGCCGTGAAGTGGTGGCACAGCTTGGCAGAGGCCTACGTGCTGTATAGCCCTGGAAATAATTTCTGGAAAGAAAAAACGACCCGTCTTTCCCTCATAACTTTTCCAAATTTTATTCTTAAACACTTCTGCACAGACCAGCACAGCACCTTTTCCAACCTGAAAAGACACCCCGTGCCCCTGTTCGGCCCACTGGGGAAAAGGCCACTTTCTGGAGGTCTGTTTCTTCCAATGTTTTCGAGTGGCAGTGTGTGAGTCTGGGGAAACGGTCCCCCACCCCACCCACGCCACAGCCCAAATCCAAAAGCTACTTAGCAATGAGAAATGCACTGGCGATCCATTAATGTTTGCCTTCCTGCGTCTCATCTGGTTTGGTCCAGATGTTCCTAGATAAAGTGATTGTCTACTTTGTGGCTTCCTCTGGTTTAAAGTTGCCTGTATTCCTTCAGAGGCATCAGAACGTGGACCGCAAAAGGCAGGGGCTTGCCTGGGGTGCGTCCAGGCCTCTTTGTGAAGCTGGATGGAAGTCACCAGCCGTTCCCTCAAGGCCCTGCCTCTGGTTTGACTTCAGGAGAGTCACTGGTGACAACCGGCCCACCGGGTAGAATGGAACGCTTTGCATGATGTCATCACACACTAAGCAGACCTGAACAGTCCTCTGGCTTCCCTGGTGTTTCAAATACCAAAACAATTAACAACATTAAATTTGTTCTTCGTATCTTCTGTGTTGACTTCGGAGCAATGCAAGAGCCCAGAGCAGTACAAGCAATGTGTAGAGCATACGCAGCTTAGAGAAAAAAGCCTGAGGAAGGACTTGGATCACTGGAACATTTTATCTATCAGTCAATCACTGGAATATCTTCAAGGAATAGGTACCAATCCCCGGAACATCTCATTTCTCCAGATGTGGTTTTTGGAAGAAGAAGGAAAAAGACCCAACATTTTGATACTGTTCCTTTTACTCTTTAAATGAGTCAGAGTTTGGGGAGGGGTCAGGTCTTCTTAACGCTGGCTTTCTTTTTGCGCCGATGAGCCTCCATCTCCTTCCTGAAGACCAGCATCCCGAGCTGGCCATGTGAAGCTTCGTTCATGGCTTTGGACTGGATGCACATCTTGTATTGCTCCGGGGTCAACTCATCTAGACAGAACTTTTCATGCCAGAGGTGGAAAAGGCCCCGGGCTGGACTTCTGACCACCATGAGGTTGCTGCGAAGGTACTTCCGGTACAGGTGCACATCTTCCCCTCCCCAGCCTTTAATTCCAAGATCAAATCCTCCTGAGAAGAAAATACAAAGTATAATTAAATAGAGTTATATGGTAGAAGTTCAGGGGGGAGAGGGAACATAGATTGGGAAAGGCTTTTTGGAAGCCGGCTTTTGTGAGAAATTATTTATTAATTTTAAAGTTTTATTAGCCACTTTTCTACCTTACAGGAACTCAAGATGGCTTACAATGCAAACAGCAACAAAACACAATAAAATATATAAACACCACTGGTTTTAAATCATTAATTTAAAACTGGTGATCATAACTAGCACTTTGAATTGAACTTAGACTGGCAGCCAGTGTTCCTGTTTTGGAATGGGTGAAAGATGTGTTCCCATCGACTAGCCTCCAACAATGTGGGGATTCTGAATGAGCTGAAGTTTCCAAGTTGTCTTCAAGGGCAACCCAATGCAGAGCGCATCAAACTCGTCCTGACCGTGAGGCTGCAAAAGCACAGATCAGCGTAGCCAGGGCAGCTTGAGGATAAGGAGGGTGAGGGTGGCAGAGCCAGAAGCAGCTGGCAGGAAAGGGCACTCCTCCTCCTCCAGGCCACCGTACCGGCCGGTCTGTCTTGTCTGGATCCAGCTCCAGCTTGTCTGTTTTAGCCACCTGACAACAGCAGCCTCAGATCCCTGCCTCAGTCAGACGGATGCCTCTGGAGGCAAAGCTGATGAAATAGAGAGAGGTGGGGGGGTCATCTGCAGACTGGTGACACCCAACCCCAACGCTCCAGCCGATCTCATTCAATGGCCAGGTTGCCTCACCAAAATACTATGTCCCCACCGCCCCACCGCCGGCACCGGCTGCAGCTTTCAGGGGCCAATATGACCACGACTCCAAGCTTTTTAGTATGGAAGTCACAAAGCCAAGTAAAAGTGTCCACTGTCGACTGATCCTGAACAGGCAGACCCATGGAGAGAGCAGTGCAGCCCCCTCAAGGCAGCTGCTGTTGTTTTCAGGTTCTGGCTAGCAAAAGAGGCAAACCAGACTCCTCTCCCATTCCGCCTTATCTTGTGTTTCACCCTGTTTCTGCAAGACGGGATGCAAATGCTTCAGTAGCTGCTACAAGCCGGTGGTTCGAGGGCTACAGGGAGGTGGAGCAGAGGGCAGAGGGCAATTTGCATCGGCCCTCCTGGCACCTCAGAGGGGCTGAGCCGATTCTGAATAAGCACATAGAACTTTTTTTTTCTCCAGTATGGTTATCGTATGATTCTGAATGCATGCCAGAACTCTAGAAATGAATGTCCCCTTTGGAGGCAGCCCAGCTGGGGGCCAGTGGAAGGGTTTCTTACCAATGTTGATAAAATCAGAGTGGTATTGGCAAGTCATTCCAAACCCAAAGTCTCTCCAAAATCCGGTCTCCTTTTTAACAACCTGCAAGAGAAAAGTGTGCAGAAGTGTGCCGAGAAAGAGGCAACAACTGAGTCCCGTGCAGCCCCCCTTGTCCTTGGGACAATCCCTTCCCCATCACTCCCCTGGCCTGTGCGGCCCTTCCACCTTTGCCCTAACAGCTCCTTCATACACTGCATGACAAGCAGCTGTGGACACATTCCCCTGCCATGGCGGCAGCAGTGGGACTGGAACAGGCGGAAACGGCAGCCAAACACCCCAAGTCTCGCTCTGCTCGCCGCCATGCGAAAGTGCAGGTGTGATGAAGGCTGAGCAGTGCCCCCCCCGGCCCTGGTTCCCCCCCTTCTCTTCCCCTGCCGGGTCACAAAGGCCCAGTCTGCATCTAGCATTTGCTCCCCCGTTTTACCAAACCCAGGCTGGAGCAGGAAAAGATGCGGCTCAAAACCACCAAGGCCCTCCTGACTGCAGAGTCACCCTTGAACGGCCATAAATCCGTGCAAGCGGCCACCACAAAACCGAGAGATCCGAGGACGTGAAAGGGGCCTGCAGTGTGGACACTGCCATAAAATCCGGCACTCAATCAAAGTGCAAGTGGCATGCCAAGTAGAGGGGGGTTTCTGTTCCAGCCTGGGTTTGGTAAGACAGTGGAGCGAATGCTAGATGCAGATTGGGCCAAAGTAATACTAAACCCTGCATCACAACAGGCAAAAGAAAGGAAAAGCCTTTTAAAGGATACTCCAGCGACACCCAGCCCACCCGCCTTTAACGCAGGGAGCAACTGGGGTTGTTTTCCTCCAGAGTCTCCTGGGAAAAGCCCCAGGAGCCCCACCGGTCATGCTCAGGGGCTTCAATCCAGGGGCTTCCGTGGGGGGGGGGATCCCTTTGTGGTGGAAGCGGCCCTGGTCCTGCAAGAGAGAGAGAGTCCTGTTTTCCTTTTAACTATCAGCGCACCACAGTGTGTGTGGGGGGCCCCCTCTGGCCAGTGCAGTCTGGTCTCCTTGAAGCACCGGGCTGCCACGGAGAGAATACCTGCAGTACCAACATAGGTATCATTTTAAGCTGTTGCTGCCGTCTCCAAAGAGTTCTGGAAATTGCAGTTCAGTGAGGAGACTGAGAAGGCTTTATTAAAGACTCCCCAGTCCACTTCAGCGTAGCCCACCGCACTGGCAGAAACTGTGGATGGTGTGACCCTCCCAGCCCTCAAAACAGTGTACGGAATCAATGACAATATGGCTTCCCTTTGTGCCCATTTTTATCCCACCCTCTTCCTCCAAGAATGGCAGGATGGGATCTGAACTCGGGTCTCCCAGATTATAGCCCAGCATTCCTTCCCAGGACACCATCCTCCATCCCAGTATTTGCTGTCTTATTCTGTTCACAGAACGATAGTTCTCGAGCTTTATACAAAGAGGGAATGACTATTAACCAAGTTTGTAATGGAGAGAGAGAGACGCTCTGAGGCAGGAGCAGGTATGATTTATTTCAATTTAGTCACACATGATACCTTTCGTTCTGTTTTGGTGTGTACATCTTATAGGACTCATACCTCAAGAATGCCTTTACTGGGGTTTAGCAGGGAGGAAAAGCATTCCAGAATCCCTCCGTGAACACGGAATAGGTTGCCTAATGACCTGCTCCCAGTCTCGTGGGCTAGAGTCCTCGGCCATCCCTACGCTTCTTGATGAATCAAGTCTTAAAAGTTAACCCTGCCGTGGTTTAAGACTGGCGGTGGCTGTCCCTTGGGCAGGGGTATCTCAAGCCAGCCTGAGGGAGGGAGACGCAGACATCGCCTGCCTCTCTCTTTTGTCAGAGACACGTTTCAAATCTCCTAGAGACAACATGGGCCGCGGTGGCTCAGAGGTTAAGGGGCTGGGCTGCAGACCAGAAGGTCTGACTGTAGCTTGGCAGTTCGAGACCCGAGTGCCGCATGACGGAGTGAGCTCCAATCTCTGCCCCCAGCTCCTGCCAACCTAGCAGTTCGAAAGCAAGGAATTGCAAGTAGATAAATAGGTACCGCTTCGGTGGGAAGGTAACAGCGTTCCGTACGCCTCAGTGTTTAGTCATGCCTGCCACATGACCACGGAAACATCTTTGGACAGCGCTGGCTCTTCAGCTTGGAAATGGAGATGAGCACCACCACCTAGAGTCGGGTTTGACTGGCTTTTGAGCAAGGGGAACCTTTACCTTTTTAGACACAAGATCCGTAGTCCAGAACCAGCTGTTGGGTTTGGAGAAAGGCTAGATGGCCCCACCTGACAGCAATGCGGATTCTGTGAACTGAGGCAGATCATGAGAGGGAGGGCAGGAAGGGTTGCCTCAGGGCTTGGTTCTCATGGCCCTTTCTTACATGCCCAGGGAAATGCCGATCCGGGGTCAGCAAGCAATTTTTCTCCAGGCCAGTTTGGCCCCCAGGGATCCTGGAGAGCTGGGTTGTTGTTTTTTTGCCATCTTCTGGGCATAGAGCA